AAATTTATAGAGAGAAACTATTTGAAATTTTAAGTCTTAGAGATGTTTATGCTCCAATCTGTGCCGATCTCTAGGATGAGATCAACTCAAATCTTCGCATAATTGAGTTAATTATGAAAAGGAAGAGAAAGTGCTGTCGCATGAATTATGACCTCAAGGATTTAGATATGATTATTTCTTGGGTCAATTTGCAACGCCAACTTCCATATCTGTGTAAATTGCTTTAAGAAACACTTTGAAATTTTACCATCTAAGAAATAACATAAAATTACAAAAAAATAAATTAATTAAAGAAGAAAATAAACTTAGATTAAGCCGGGAAGAAGATACTTACCTCTAAAAGCCCAGAGCTGATGCGAATAATATATTATTTTTTTGTTTATCTCTTCAGATATGTGCATGTGGGTAGGGATAATTAGGGTGGGTAAGAGTTTATATTGTAAGTTTAGGAAGGTAAATAGATAAGGTTAAATTAGAAGAATTTTATTAGGAATATTTTAGATAAAAATGTGGGAAGCATGGTTTTGGATCAAATGTGGAAAATCATATCTTTTTTGATATGTGATGGGTAAAGAAAGTACATATGGATGATAAAAAAAACTAGGTTAAGAGAGAGAAAATAAGGAAGAAGAGATAAAATCGGAAAAGTGTAGAGATAGTTTTTTTGTTAATGTTTATCTTATTTCTTAGTCTATTTAAAGGGAGGTTTCCCTTCATCATAAAAGATGTGGATGAGTTAATAAAATTTGATCTCATGAAGAGATTTTTGAGGTGGATTCCCTTGCAGACCTTGAGATAGGGTATATTCTCTCAACCTTTTCCTTTTATTTTTATGGTGTTATTATTTATTTGCATCAAAGCTGCATTAATTGGTATCAGAGCCAGTCAAATCCAGAGAGAAGTTAAATCTACAGAGACTAAGTTAGATCAAAGCAAGTTAGATCTGCTATGGATGATCGTTGGGAACAAGTTTGGGATCGTTGGGAACGAGCTATAGAAAAATTTTCTAAAGTCCTAGAGGATGTTCGAACTGAAATACGTGAGAAAAAATATGAGATGCAGTGGTTGGAGAACAATCTTCCTTGTGAAGAAGAAATTTGCAAGCTAGATCTGCCATATTCTATCGAGAAGCTAAATCCACCACGTCCTATGGAACAACCACGAGATTTTGACATTAAAATCAATCTCCCAAAATTTCAGGGTCAAATGTGTTCATTGGTTCAACTTGGTGTTTTTTTGGAACTGGTTCCATTCCTGGTTAGGAATACTCAGCCCAAGCTCGAATTCAACAATTACTCTTGGAACACAGTTGCAAACATCAATATTGAAGAAATTGAAGAAAACGTACCGACAGTTGCAAGCATCAGTCTTGAAGAAATTGAAAAAAACGTACCGAGGTTCATGGTGGGACTTCATCACCAACTTTTGAGCTTGAGGTCGAGCTTCTCCCGACCCAGGGAGAATGATACAAATAATATTAAGGTTATTTTAATTTTTTATTATTCTTTTGTTTCTCTCTTCAGATATGCACATGTGCACAGGGGTAATTAGGGTGGGTAAGAGTGTATATTGTGTTTATCTTGTATCAGCTGGGTTAGTTTAGGAAGGTAAATAGATAAGGTTAAATTAGGGGAGTTAGTTAAATCTAAGGGGAATTTTATTAGGAATGTTTTAAATAAAAACGTGGGAAGCATGACTTTGGATAAAATGTGGAAATCTTATCTTTTTTGGTACGTGATGGGTATGTGACGGTTAAAGAAAGAAGATATGGATAATCAAGAAACTAGGTTAAGAGAGAAAATAGGGAGGAAGAAATAAAATAGGAAAAGTGTAGGGAGAGTTTTTTTGTTAATGTTTATCATATTTTTTAGTCTATTTAAAGGGAGGTTTCCCTTCATTGTAAAAGAGGTGAGGTTTCCCTTCATTGTAAAAGAGGTGAGGTTTCCCTTCATTGTAAAAGAGGTGAGGTTTCCCTTCATTGTAAAAGAGGTGGATGAGTTAATAAAATTTGGTCTCGTGAAGAGATTTTTGGGTTGGATTCCCATGCGAGGGTATATTCTCTCAACCTTGAGGTGAATTCCCTTGCAGACCTTGAGAGATGGTATATTCTCTCAACCTTTTCCTTTTATTTTTATGGTGTTATTACTTTCTTGCATCAAAGCTGCATTAAGAACTCAGAACCTAGAGTTTGGCTTGGATCAAATCGTTCTTTTGATTTTCGCCACCATCTCCTTTTTAGATGTTTTTGCTTGGTAGAATTAGTAGATCTAATATTCTTCCACTTAGATCTAGGGTTCCTAAAGCAAGTGGAAAAACTCGAGATATTTAGGTAGGTCTCTACCTAGGCTTCTCTTGGGTTTGGAGGAGGATATGCTTATTTTTCTAAAGTTTTTGGGATCTCCTAAGGTAAACTCTGAACTTAGGATTTTTGGAGAACTTTCCTAATTTTCTAGGAACTTCCTAAGGCTTTCTCCTAATTATGGGCATTTTCAAGGTATTTTCCAAATTTTGGAATTTTATCCTATTTTTTAAGAATTTTCAGATGTGATCTTGAATGAATTTAGAGGAGGTTTTTATAGGCTTGAACTAGGGATTTTTTATTTTTGAAATTTTCCATATTTATCTAGATTTATCAAATTAAAAATAGTTTTTATTACATCATTGGGCCAACCTGGGCCCACCTAGCTGCGCGATGGTAGCCACGGCGACCCATGAAACATACAGAGCTTTGCGCTTCCTGCTTAACGTGTGGGGCCTCATGCGGCATGATGCGCCTTGTGCGGATCGGGTCGAGCCCATTACAGGGGAATTTTGGTAATTTTTATGCACAATCCGTTCGAGGCTTATGTCTTTTGATCTGTAGGTTTGATTCTAACGATTCTTGGACCGTTGGAAACCTCTCGGGGTCTACTATGACTTGGGATAAGCTTGGAGCAGGTTTGGGATAGTTTTACTGAGTCTAGGTTGCCTATGGTTCACTAGGACATTGGTGGTCTTTTGGACTCAGAATCATGGGTTTTAGAAATTCCCTTAGTAGAATTTTGAGGGAAGTGTCTACTAGAAAGAGAAAGTATCTTAAAATTTTAAAAGTGAAACTCTATCAAATTTTACAGAGAGAAATTATCCAAAATATTTTAGAAAGATAAACTATCTCAAAATTTTTACGGAGAGAAATTATATCAAATTTCAAGTTTTATAGAGAGAAAGTATCTTAAACTTTTAGTGAGACACACTTTATCAAATTTTAAAGAGAGAAACTACATGAAAATTTTTAGAGACAAAAACTATCTCAAAACTTTTGGAGAGAAATCATTAACTATCTCAAATTTCAACATTTTAGATAGAGAAAGTGTCCCAAATTTATGGAGAGAGAAACTATATCATATTTTAAATTTTTAAAGAGAGAAACTATCTCAAATTTTTTAGCAAAAAAAACTATCTCAAAATTTGAAGTTTGAAGGTATGTGTGCAATAACAAACCCGGTCATACAAAAAAGATGATCCAAACATGAGATTTGCATTACCTCGGTACTATTCAAAGTCATCCAAACAAGTCCTACTTAAGTTAAGGTTTTAACATAAGAATAACGTTTTGATTCAAATACTCTCTAAGTTTCTTGTTTTGCGATAAAAACCAATGTGGTCCTCAACAATCGAGCCAAATATGAAGAGCCTCCTCCACTTCGGGCTATTGGCAATGAAGAGAAGGCCAAGCTACGCATAAAAAATAAAAAAAAAGTGATTTACGTATGGAACTAAAATTTTAGGTAAAATATGAAATGCACCACTCATAGGTGGAAATTATAAATTATAAGAAAGTTCAATCAATCTACTCTTCTTTGTTTTTTTTTAACTTAGTTTTTTCGTTTGTAGGGCATTACTTTAAATCTTGGGGAACTTCCTACTAAGGAAAAAGTTAAAAAATCTTTAAAAAAAATGAAACTTTGGGTTGCCCTAAGGGTAATTTTAGAAAAATAAAAAAAGATATTGACCCACCTTCTTTGTAAATTTCACTTATAAATAGTGTATTTTGTATGTTGCTGAAAATTTTAAAGTCCGTACATAAATCATCATACAAAAAACACTCGATGATATGATGCAAAACAAATGTCATTTCAAAAAAGACCTGATTTCTATGCAACCAAGCTCGCATACGCAGAAATACAGGCCTATTAATATATCTAAACTGAAATGGATTTTAGATTTGATTTTTATAAATATATAATTTTTAACATGAAAATCATGAAAATTAAAAATTAAATAAATAGTGTGGACCGCATGCAACAATTTCCCTTCAAAAAAGTGCTTATATCCACATAACCTGTCCGTTGAATCGCTGCTAAGATACATGTGTTATATGCACATAACGGGCATTGGCTGAACGTGTCTCTAACTTCACGGGAGCGAAAATCCTACGACCTTTCTACCAGGTACACGAATTCCCACAAACACAACCCGGAACCCACGTATCCAAAGCATTCGTTCATTCGAGAAGCAATAGTACTCGTGCGCGCGGGTGTCATACCTGGATCGCAACGTGGAGCCGTGGTTTTTGTCGATGGCCTGCAAAGCTGGACACAAACTGAAAAGTGGTCCAGGCATCGTACCGACGATATGTCTGGAACATAGAGAGAGAAAGAGAAAGAGAGAGAGGCTTGAACTATCACGCATTTTTATGAAGTTTATCTTGAATTTTATCAGTAAGTCGTGACTAATGAAACAACCAAAAGACAGAGAAGTATATGACCCAACAAGAGAGAGGATGAATAGCGGTGGTATACTGTAACTGCGTTGACAGTGAGAGAGTGAGACGAAGAACTGATGAACCACAGTAATATGAGTTGCATCTCACTCACGTGATAGGGTATTATAAGGGGTCTTGGTGCCACGATCCCTTGAGATTCAGCTCTCTATACAGAGATTCGTAAAAAAAAAATTTCTCAAAAAATATATATATCAGTTGCATATCCACAACCAAATTCTGGGTTGAGAGAGAGAATATGAGGGAGAGAGAGAGTTAACATAAGTATGTGATACAAGATATAAGTAGGTGCATTACAATAACTCAAAGGTGTTGCATGTTGAGAGAGAAAGAGAGAGAGGAAGGGTGAAACATAGTTAGAGAGAGAGCGCAACGGTGAAACATATAAGTCAACCAGATGAGAAAAGGTTGTACAAAACGGAACGAATGCCTTTCAATGGAACGTTAGCTATCACCTTCCGATTACTTAATTTTGAACCCTAATCCACTCTTCCCATTACATAATCAACATTACAGTCAGCATGAGGAGGTCCCTGAGCACGAATAATCATCCTCATCATAACACACATGGACATTGCCATAATCTTCTTTTTCATCATCATCATCTTCTTCTTCTTGGTGAACAATGGAGGGCCCTTTCTGATCATCATATTCATACACTTCATGGTGAACGATAGCAGGAAGGTGGTCGATGGAATGAGGTGCGTGGCTGGGCCCAAATGCTCGAATGTGGTCCTTAAGTGAGCGCTTGTGTTTGAAATCAGAGCCACAGATACAGAACCAGAGCTTCCCACAGTTCTTCTCATGGGTTCGCCAGTCACCGCGCACAGCAAATAGTTTGCCGCACTTGCGGCAGGCAAAGGGCTTTGCGCCGTGCTTGCGCTTGTAATGGGTCTGAAGGGTTCGGAAGTCTTTGAGGGGGCGGGAGCGGGGGTGTTGGATGTTGTTCCGACACCCTTCCGCGCAGCAGTAACAAGGCAGCCTAAGCAGTGATGAAGGCTTTGCCCCACGTAGGGACTCTGGACCCTTCCTGTACTCTGAGCCGTGCCCCCACATGTGCATCTGCATAGCATTATTCGAAGTTGGAAGGCACCATGAGCAATCAGTTGAGAAAGATGGTTTGAGTTCAGAGCAGCTGGCAAAACATTAAGAAAGAGAGAGGAAATTACCTGCATGTTATTGTATCTATTGAAGCTCTTGTTACAGACGCTGCAGGCGAACTGGGTAGGTCCAACCAAGATCTGCGCCGGGGAGGGGATCCAATACTGCCCCTCCGCCAACACTCTCACACCATTAACCCCAACTGTCCCCTCCACCGCTCCGCCTGTCGCCCCTATTTGCAGCGCAATAGTCACACCATCGTCCGAGTTTCCGCTGTGCAAAGCTCGTGCGTGGAGTTGTTCATGTTTGTTTGGGCTCACCCTCTGCTGACCAGGTGGAGCAAGACTCAGAAAGACTGCATCCTCCTCGAGCAGCTCTTCCTCTTCCATTTGATCTTCCGCTTGCCGTACATTGCCTAGACAAGAGGTGGGTTCAGAAAAGCGGCCCACCCAGTTCCTAGAGCACGCTCCTGAAGGAGCGGTGCGCGTGATGAGCGGTGGGCTCGGACCCAGATGGTGGTGGTGCAGCATGAGGAACGGGGTGTGATAAATGGGAGTAAAGGAGCAACGACCGGGCTTTTATGGGAAGAGAGGTATTTTATTGAGTGTGTTGGTTCGATCTGGTGCAGAGCATCGGGAAGGTAAAGGAAGGATTAGAGGAAGTTTATTATGTTTAATTCTACTTTTTTTGTAGAGAGAATGAGAATGGGGATGCGGGGAGAGGTGCAGGCGCACGTGCAATGGATGGGGATAGATACGTGTTTTGGCGTTTTAGGGTTTGGGCCCGACAAGACACCGGCAAAGCAGGCAATGCTACTGCATGGGACCGCGTACCCACGACCTTTTCCCTCACTCTCTTTCACTATTTTTTTTTTTCTTTTTGACAAAACTTTACATTCCCTTTCTCTCTCTAAGTTCGTTTTCTCTATCCACCGCTTTCAATCATGCTGGCCGCATTCATTTACTTCAGACGTTCAACCTCCAAGCACACGGACACAAATCCCGAAGTGGCGCATTGCGCTTTCGCAACTTCGGTCCTACAAAAATAAACTACGGTGCTTCTTTACTAATAGCATATTTTTCATAATATTTTACACATTATAACTACTAGAAAGTTTACTATGGTCATAAAGTGTATAATCCAATTAGATGCCGGAATTCTTCTTATGCTGAATGAAGCTTGAAAATGCTGGTCAAATGCCCTAATGTCAAAAATGACACCCAAAAAAAGATACTATAGTTCATGTCTCTCTTAGAAAATAGTTTGTTTGGATTACACCAATTAGATCTTTTGAACTTGGCTTTTCTTGTTTGGTGTTTTTTCTATTTATTTATTTTAACTTTTTTATGGAAGGTGAACTTGGGATGGGGTGTGAATAGAACCCTAGATGTTCCGCACCTCTTGCCACTTCCTGCTTGATCCCGTTATCTTCAATAACCATTCAGTGCCTTGAATTTAGGGCTTGCAATGGGCCAGGCGGCTGACCGGGCCAGCCGGCCCAGCCCTAAAAAAGTAAGGATTGTGCCACAAATTCTAGTACCGATTTCAGGCCAGTATCAACCCGGTTCTGCGCAACCATACTCTCTTTTCTAATATTTTTGTTTTGTTTTGTCTTTATTTGCTTTGGCCTAGAAGGTCAGGCCAGGCCCGGACCATTGCCACTCTCTAGAATTTTCTTTTACCATGACATAATCAAATCCTGTATAAAATTCGAAATCCTTTTTGCCAAATTCGACAACAGCGGGGTTGAACGTACCATTTATCATATATGGCGTGCGCAGTCCACTCCAAAAAAGAAAAACAGAGAGGCCCCCCTCGCATGCATGTAGGAGAGAAGAAAAGCATGCAAGGGGATAAATTGTTGTTTTAATCCGGTTTAGGGGCCGGCATTGTCTTCGGGGTTAGGGACACCTGGCGCCTCGTCCTTTTTGTGGGCCCACCTTGTGCTTACAAACGCATGCACGCTGAGCAAGTGGTGATTGCGATTTTGTCGCGGTTTGTGCGAACGTGCCCCGGAAAGGTCTCCGCCTTTTTGTTTGGAGATGCACTTTGCCAGTAGGCGCCCGCTCCCTCTTGTTGATCTTTTCTATATTTCCCTCTCTATTTTCCCTTCCAATGACATTGCTCAATCTAGGTTTTACATGGATACCTTCGTGATGATTACAAGGAGAGTGCATGTATAAGATATAATATTGCATGGACCAGTGCCCTTTTTAATCGTGATGAATGCAAAGAAAAAGGATATTGAATGAATTTATGTTAACAATAAAAAAAAATTACTACGAGAGAACATGTAGAGGAACTAATTTTGCATGTGCCCGTTCCATTTTGGACTTTTACAGAGAATGATTTTGCATGGACCAATTTATTGGGAAAAATTTTAGTTGTTTGGGTCAATATCCAGCGTAGCAGCTACTGGACATGAATCGACTCGGTCTAAGTTAGATCCAAACCAGGGTAGGGTCCAAGTGGGTCCAAACCGCGCAACCCACTGTTGGATCCTGGTTTATGCGTAAAAGGATACAAAACTTTCTTTTGCATACTTTATAATAATGATACACTGAATTTCCTGATACATAAAATAATAAAATAAAAATCAATATCAATGAACGACTCACACGGATATGTCCCTGAATCAAACGAGGAACTCAAGGCTCTATATCAAATCCTATCGACCAAGCCACTCAGTGACAAGCATCTTGGAAGATGATTTTGCTGAATAAAAATCACCTTTCATTATCTCATTCTTCCTTTTTAATCTCTGCACTTTGTTCTTGAAGGATTAGCCTCCCTTTGTAGGGGTTATAAGTGTTTGTAGCTCTCATATTAATGGCTACAGGAGTTGAGATATAAGTGTAACTCCAACATGAATTCCCTTAAGGGCAATTAATTGAGACTAGTAACTTGTCACCAAACTGTTAATCCTATGTTACAAGCTAAACTTGTCATTAATATACAAATCTCATATAAAAGGATGTCATCTTTGGTGTCGGTGGGGGGGGGAAAGGGGCTGGTCTTCGGTCCGCACAGGTGGCGGAAAGCCGTGAAGACCCTCTCTCGGACTATCGCAGGGATCCGCACACCTGGGGGCTGCACCTGTGGGTGTTGAGCACACAGACTCTCCTGAGTGCGAATAGGGGTACCGACAGTGAGAGAGATTTTGACAACAGATGCGCTTGAGATGCTCTCCTTATAGCTTGGGGGTTCATGGGACACGCTCGGGCAGTTCGCCCTCTTTGAACAATCACGAAGATCTCCGGTTGACTGCCAGTGCGGCTTGGACAAGGACTCTCCTCAGGCTCGCAACATCTCTTCCTTTCTCTCTCTATCTCTTGCTAGTAACTGGGATGGGATTCGATTATCCCTCCTTGTGGTTATCCTCTCGAAGGGGTTGGTTGGTTGGTAGGTAGATGTGAGGTAACCCAAGGGTCAGAGCCCATGGGTTCACTCGGGTTTGCGGATGTGTTGTTGACGTGAGGTGCTGCATGGGACAGACGGCATGTGGAGAGCGAGAGAGAGAGGATGTGTTCGCACACTCGGGGTGTCTAGGGGTCCACGTACTCAGTGGTATTTTTCTCACTCAAAGTTTTCTTTCTCCTCTCGACAGGATTAAAAATTTGGAAGCAAAAGACGATTGAAAACAAGACTAATGCCTCTATTTTATCTATGGGTAGTGTATAATAATCCGCCTTTTTATAAGTGACTTAAGCTTGCTTATATAGAGGATTCACCAAACAGAGGTGAATGCTCAAAAACAAAGTTTAATTACAATTTAAGAAATTAGAATAAAAGTCCCAAAATTAGGTACAATGACCAAAATGCTCCTACGATATTTTATGCTAATGACGAAACCATCCCTGCATGAGGGTCCTTCCACCATGGCCAGATCTTGGAAGCTTTTCCGAGTACTTGTGGGGATGGTTCAGACAATTTTCCAGTATATCTTCAATTTCATTTTGATTTTGAGCATTTTGATGTCCTTTAATGTACTGAGGCAGCCTTTTTCTCATGGGATGGAAGTCTTGCCAGATTCATGAACTTTATTCCTCAATACCATTTGACTTGAGATGTTCTGACACTTGGCTCTACATACAAATGAGAAAGGAAACTGTCACAGTCATTTTGCACTAAGTTTTGTCTGCTTTGGTCTTGGTTTGAGATTTCTTCCAATTTGGGAGGTCATCGGAAAGAGAGATTTTGACAACCAAGCGGATTTACTTCTTTTGTAACCTGGGGATTTCCACTCATCAGACCTTGGTTTGAATGTGAGAGCTATACCAGTTTGTATCTCTTCGGGAGGTGGTTGCATTGATTCGTAGTGATCCGATGTGTGGAACTCGAGCTGTGCTTCACAAGATTCTTGACTTCTTCTTCTTAAAACCCTGGTTTTCTTGTTTTGTGGTCACCTTCTTTCTAGGAGAAGTTTGACTCTGGGTCGCACTACAGTGCATGCCTTGGGTCAAAATGACGGGGCTAGCGTGATCTAGAACATTTTTGGATTTGAGGTTTTTCAGGTGCCAGAGGAAGGTGCTATGGGTCTTCAAAGTTCATCCTGAAGTGTGATGTCGCAACCACCATGTTCGGGGACTGATGAAGTCAAGCTGCACCACGATAGCGTGAAACCCACTCGTTTCGAGGCCGTACGGCCCTTTCGGGTTATCCAATTGAGCCCAAATTTGCTCCCCAGGGTTTTTTTTGGCATTCTGAATGCATATGTGGTGGTCTGGTATTTTCTAGAGCCGCTAGTACAAGGCCACAATTGCAAGGTCCTTCCTCGATGTGATGGCAGTCCACCCTGGTTGTATGGCCCGAGGCTTATTTGGCGGTCCAACTTTAGTCTGTCAGTGTCTTATGAATCCGTAAGGCCATGTTGTTGCTGGCTCTCTCCTTGTTCGTGTGGGGGAAGTAAGTACATCAAAAGTGACATATAACAACTAGCCCTGACGGATGTTGCGATTTGAGAAAAGCAATAAGTGCAACATTTGGAATGAAAACTTTATCATCGAAGTTGATCTGGCGAATCCTCACTAAGACATGTTTATTTCCTCTCAACAGTTTTTTTTTTCTTGATCACCGGCGTCAGTGCAATCCTTGAGGGGTAGACTTTACTGAGCTTTTCTGCTGGGAGGAACAAAGTGGCTAGTAGCAGATTGGACCGCACTGAGGAGCTTTCTTCGAGTCTTGCTAGAATCTGTTTCTTAGGAGAGCGTGCTAATAGGTTGCCTTGTGGAGGGCTTATGGTTCCATACCAACAGAATCCCCTGGTGGTCTAGCTAGTGGGCGCCGATTTGTGGGCATTGGTCCCAATCTAACTGGCACAAAGAAAAAATGAAATTTTCTTTGGCCATGGTGGACGGAGGTGTGTTTTGTTGGCACTAGGGCCGAAGACTTGAGGATGGCCCTGGGGCGGGAGACTTTTTAGGGGCGGTACTGGGGTCGGAGACTTTAAGATGGCCTTGGGGCCAGAGTTTTGAGATGTTTGGCCCTGGGGCCAGAGTTTTGAGATGTTTGGCCCTGGTGCGGGGGACTTGTGTTGGCTCAAGGGCTAGAGACTTTAGGATGGCCATGGGGCCGCGATTTAGAGGATGAC